AATAAAGCTATATCAAAGACTAATTTTTGTCTCGAACAAATAGTATAAAAATAATCAGGAATATGCCCAGAAGGCAGTTACCCATCATCCATATAATCAGTTAAAAATATTGAAAATGCTAGAGATCAGGGTTATTAAATAATCATGAGAATGGCAGCTTAACACTTACACTGAGATAAAGAAAAGTGACCATGAAGACAATTTCTACGAGGATGGAGCCACACATTGTGGGTGACAAAAAACACTAGACATATACTTACTGTAACAGTCCAAAGAAAATTAAGCAAAAAACAAAGATAAAACATGGTATTTATAGTATGATCCCAAAATAACCAACCAGAATCCACAGCACATGAGACAATGAAAAGACATATAAAGTGGGAAGACTCAACTTTATAAAGATATCAAATTACCTAACAATTTATAAATTTAACTCATCCCCAAAAATATAACAACAGGTCTGTCTTCTTATACACCTAGGGCTAGAAAGCAAGTTATGGCCATGCTCTGTACCTCAAGATATTTGAAAATTTTTGTGCAAGAGTAGTTTTACTCTATTGGCCTTCTATCCTTTTCACCTGATCTTATTCTAAATAACTTTTGGCTGATTTCCAAATCCTTATCCACCTGAGAAACTATTTGCCACTAATGAAAATATTCTCTTCAAAAGAAAGCAATACATCACACCATGAAATACTATAGTAATAAGAAAATATGATCTATAGCTACACAAAACAATCTGGATGAGTCTCACCAACACAGTAGAAAGTAAAAGAAGCCAGAACCAAAGCCTACTCCTTTTATAGAAAGTACAATAGCTAGCCAAATTAATCTATGCTGTTAAAACCCAAGATCACGGTTACCCTTGAACGTGTGATTGGAAAAGACAAGAGAAAAGCTTCTGGTGCTGGTGATCCTCTGTTTTATGATCTAGGTTACACAGGTATGCTCAGTTTAGGTACATTCAGTTTATAAAATTTCACTACGCCTACATTTTAAGATATGTGTACTTTTCTGTATGTACCTTATATTTCTTTTCCTTTTTTGCAGTTGGCTACTATGGGGATCTGAACCCTTGATCTTGGTGTTATAACACCATGCTCTAACCAACTGAGCTAACCTGCCAGCCCTGTACCTAATATTTCAATACGCAGTTTTAAAACAAGAATATAACAGAGAATTCGAGAGAAAGAAACAAAAAAGGAGTTCCAAAACTTTGGAACAAAGAATGGCAGGGTTATAGGAATACGTGTTCAGAACCCCAAAAAGCTATTTTGAAGACGACAATTCAATTAAATGAGTAATCTAGATATTGGAAAAATCAATCTCACAGTTACTATCTCAGTTACAGATCTCTTATGGTAAGCAACTTTACATGTTCATTTTCTTTTAATCTCACATTAACTCCAACCTAATTTGCTTTCCCCATTCCAATTCCTTTCACTTATATTTTGATGAATAAAGATGTACAGTTATTAGCAACTTTTCCTGAGTCACTGCTTTTGACAGAAAAGCACATGCTATAAAAGACACATCACAAAGACTATGCTTTCCAATGTTAACCAGTGGGACAAACACAGAATTTTTCTGGCCAATATTTAGCTCAGGAAAAGTTCAGGCAACAGTTTTGTAAGTGAAAGGATGCTGGCAAAAATTGAAAGCTAGTATTAAGTTAGAAACATGATGACTGCGCTTCACCCAAATCACTGTCTTTTTCTAGAAAGAATTCTCAGTAAAGGACACCATCACTCACCTAAGACCCCAAAAGCTGACACTGTTCATTTCATCTGTCCATGTTTCCCTGAAGCTGATCACATCTAATGCAAACCCAGCAGAACCACATAAAACTGTGGAGTGGAAACAGTTGGGAAACAGAGCAAAGACAACATGGTGGAAGACCTGATCTCCAGGCACTCACTTCTAACAACCTTGAACTTAATCTTTCTCTCCTCACCTGTGAAATTTACTTAACAATCACCATCCTCATTACCACAAAGGCTACGAGGTATGAAGATGGGAGGCTCAAATGAGGAAAGCAATGGAAAAGCACTGGAAAAACTATAAATAAAGCACTATGCAGATGTAAGACATTGTTCTTGTAAATATACACCATCATACTATGACAGGAGCAATGTTTAAATACAATATTACCCTGGATTGTTTTAGATGCCAGAATGGCTACTGAAACATCTTAAAAATATAACAATTATATTCGGTTGAATAATATGAAACTGTTTATTTTTAGGCCTAAAATGGATAACTATTAATAGAAAACTTATTAAAAGTTTTGTATTAAAGTTTTATATTTCTAGAAAGAGGTTTATTTTTTAAAAAATACAAAACAATTATAATACCTCGGGTTTGGGCAGCTTCCTTTAAAGCAGCTAGAAGGTGAGGCTTCAAGTTATCCAAAATAAATCTTCCTTCAAGACCTGGAAAAAGGGACCTGAAACATGAAAGAAACATAGCCAATTATAATAATCTAACAATTATAAGAATAAAAAATCAATCATATATTTTCAAGCCAGTTAAACCTACTATTTTTTTTATATAAATTATAACACACACATCAAATCAAATTGCAATCTACTTTTTGATCAAATATTATCTAGGCTTTGCTTTAAAATATAAGGGTATCATGCACCATATTCAAATTCAGAAATACTCTAAACACCTTAGAATAAAATTAACTTTGTTTTCTGAAATGTCAATACACACCCTCAGGTACAAAGATATTAATATGCTACTTTAATTTAAATTAAATTTCATCAAAACAATTCATTAGTGACTAATCTGACTTAGTCATTACTAGCATTTTATAATTACGGTTTTCAGTGTTGTTATTGAAATTTTCAAAAAAAAAACAACAGCTTGGATAACTTTTTAACGAATAAACATTTGAATGCTTTATCACTTTAGAACATAAAATGTACCCTTCAATATTTTAACAAAGTATTTCTGCAAAAGTCTTCCTAACTATAAAATCTATATAGTTAACTGATGAATTTCATAATAAAGGACTCTAAGTGTGGACAGGGTGGGAGAGCCCCTAAGAAAACACAAGCACTTTAAAAGAGTGATCTCTACCTTGGGTAATCTTCTGAGGTAATATAAATAACATCTTGATCTGATACCGATGAGGAGAAGGGGACAAAATGTCCATTTTGTAAGGGTAGCAGCTCCAGCCCAAGCAGCTCACTGTAGGCCTGGTCGGAAAGCACGAATTCTAAAAGGTGAAGCTTTTCTTCAGCACTGCCCAGGTGTGTGCACTTCCTCAGCACCTGCCGCACCCACACGGGCGTCACCTTCCTCACAGGCGTTGCACTGGAAGCAGCAGTGAGCTGAATAGCAGCAGCCAGATTTGCTGGTACTTTGGCGATCTGCTTCCCTGAGCTCTGGAGGTAGTTGAGCACAGTTTTTGTGTATTCCAAACTTTCATCAAGTTCTGAGAAGTATGCCTGCTCCAACTTGACCCAGTCATTGCTAACTGAATAAATCACTGCATTCTGGAACAGCTCATGAAACAGAGGCTCCAACACCAGCTGCCAGTGCACCTTGACTTTGCTCGCATCAGGCCAGAGCTTGTAGATGACGTCAACCGACAAGGGGAAATCGGAGCTCTTTTCTGTCTCCATACGTTTTATTGAATCTAGGATCAGAGTAGCATAAGCTTTTGGGACAACATTCACAACAAGAAACTCATTCCATAACGCAGCCGGGTCTCTCCACTGGTCCAGCTCTCTCCATTTTATGCTCCTGCGGTTGTCCGTCAGGCCAAAGAACCCACTGATGTGAACAGGGAGTCCCGTTCTGCTTTCCTCACCAGGTGGTAAAGGAAGGAAACAAAATGCTTTTCCTGAGAAATGAGATACTGCTCCTTTTTCTTCATCATCTCTGCTTGATAAAGGCATTGCTATTCCAATGATTGGGACAAATTTCAATTCATCAGCTAGAGAGTCAAGTTCACTACTAATCCCTCGCCCACCTACACTGTTACACACCAGCCAAGAAGTCTTTTGTATATCCTTAGTACTCTCATCTTCTAAAGCTATATTTATATGATATGTTACACAAGTGATGCTATTGCTTGGAATCTTTTTACAATAGTTACTTATAGCAGTTCCCAGAATTTTTATAGAATTTGGCCGTTCATGTTTCAGGGCTTTATTCTCACTTGCAGTCACTCTAAACACCAGTTTCTCTGTTCCATCAGCCTCTCGAACATGTAAGGAGACATCCTGCACGCTTTTCAGAAAGAGCAGCACAGTGTCTGCATCTGCCCTAAAAGATTCAAACAACTCAAGAACTTTCTGCTTATTGTAGAGGTTGTTACTAAGCTGGGAAGGTTGCAGGCGAAGAGGAAAACGGAAAAATGTTCCTGGAAAATTGCCATCTATAAATGTTCCCTTGGTGCTTCCAAAAATGCCAATAAATGGTGCAAATTGGTCCGAAAGTTCACTAATTTCTTTGCTGTCATCTTTGAGATTCCAACATTGCCCTGATTCATGTGGACCAAAAAGTGTTTGATGCGGATCTAACATTCCAATCTGGTCACCACTAAAGATGCAAGGAACATCTGTAAAGAATACTTTAAGTCAAGACCAACTCTGAAATTTAATCGACAATTATAATCACAATTAAAATGAATAATTATAATTACCATCAAAACATTACATATGAAAAAGATGAACCATAAAATGACTCAAAAACAAATTTATCTAAAAACAATTTAGCTTTGGAAATGTAATTCTTTGAATACGAAAAATAACGATTTCCCTTTTGATTCAATCTAATAATAAGTGCCAGGCATAAGACTTTCCATGATTATTGTCAAAACCTAGGATATATCTTCAAATACTCATTAAACACAAGCTGTAAAGACTGTTTGGATTTTTACACTCAGCCCCACAGCCATGTGAACCCAATTAAACAGAACAGAGTTGTATCCTATGCTCAAAAGAAAAGAACCCAACTGTAGACTCTGAAAAAAGAGGGGCAGAAACACAATGCAGGAGATTCTGCCCCCAAGTTACTCAGTAAGTACATGCCCTGCAGCGAGTGTGAAATGAGTGTCCTTGCTTGGTCTTAATCCCTGTGCCCCTTGGAGGAGAAGTGCTTCTCACTATGCTGAGCCTAATTATAGTGAGGAGGGATACACACTGTTGTATATATAGCACGCCCCCTAAATTGATACCAACTGCTTCTCCTGTTCCTCAGCCAAAGACAGAGCAATATTTCAGCACTGACAGAAAAACAAGATGTGAGGAACTCAGAGTGCTGAGAGAAATTCCCCACCAGGTGCCTTCCTGAGGGCTTGTCATGGTGGTTCGAACATGTGTTTTGCCTTGCATGCTAGCTTTAGCACCTAAGCTTCAGGCACGATGCAGCTGCAGTGAAGGCAGCCTTTAAAATCTATGGTCATCAACCACAGGTTCAGTTGTCACAGTCACCAGCTCCTAAGCTCTAAGGTACTTTAAGTAGCAAATGTCAGGTCCACCAACCCCATCGCTAAACCCATCAACAGTGTGTCTGGGACAGCTT